TTCCCCATCCAGCCATGCTGGCTGGGGAATTCTGGGAGTTGAAGTCCACTCATCTTAAAGTGGCCAAGTTTGGACAACACTGCTTTATGGTATAACAAATAGTGTGATGTACTTTGCAGTTGCTTATTAATGCCATGTTGAACTTTGGATGCAAAATTTAAACAATTTTATGGTGATCAACATTGACATTTTAGACAGTTAATATTGATATAAACTTTTTTCTTTTTTTTAAAGGTTTAAGTTATCTAAACATTACAGTATTAATAATCTCTAGTGAAAACTGTATAAATACACTGTACCCAAATAATACAATGTACTGTTTATGTTTTATAAGAATACAATAAAACAATATAAAAAGTCAAGATGGCAGCTACAAGAGCGTGGTTGAAACTCCACCTGTTTGCATTGTGCATAAAAAATGGGCAGAGCTTCCATCGCCCTGCTGTGGCCACCATCTTGACTTTTTTGACCCCACCCTGCAGACACTAACCTCAACAGTAACCAGCTTCACAATGTATGGCCCATCCTCAGCCAAGAATCCATTCCAGATTTTGTACACAGCCCAGCCCGAGCATCATTTACCTCTCAGGAGCCTTTCTGGGTGGCCCAATTAGCTAATGATTGCAGGAAATAAATTGTGCTAAGTAAGGAATCCTTAAAGGGCAATTATTCCAAGCCAGGTGCTTGGACTCCTCTGACAATTTGGGCAGGGAGAGGAAATTCCTGGCTTCCTGCCTCACCACTGGAAAAAAAAAAATAACGCAAAATTATTAATGGGAGCCAAAAAGAGCCCAATGCAGCTGGCCTCTTCCTATTGTTGACTGCATCCCTCAGTTTTCTCTGGAATGGACTCAAGGCATTGTGCAGAAAATGGGCTGACTGAGCAACCCAGTCAAACGTGTGTGGCAACCCTGCCTTGGAGTTGGAAGGAATGTCAGCAAGCCAATCTACCCAGCTCCTATGTTGGTTTTGTTACCCACAAGGCCTTTGGGCCCCAGAACCCTGGGAATTTTGATCTTTGTAGGTGTGGACCAGTGTTTTTCAACCTTGACCACTTTAAGATGTGTGGACTTCAACTCCCAGAATTCCACAGCCAGCATGCTGGTGTAGACACATCCCAACATCTGAGCATCTTCTCCAAGGCCTTCATGGCTGCTCTACCAAGTGCTTTCTTGACTGCTGATTCATTCTGAAGTTTTCTCGTAGTAGTAGACATTTATTAAGTCTTCACCTCTGATGGTTCCTCTGTTTAATCTTACAGTTATTTAGTTATGGTCTACATACATAAGAGCTGCAAATTCCACAACTATGAGGTGGGATAGCAAATGTAGAGATCTAGTGTATGTCTACTCTTGAGTAAGTTTTACGAACAATAGGATATTTGTACCCATGCATCAAAAAGAGATAGAAATGACATACAATCTAAGACATTTTGAGGGTGGCTACCCGAATTCCTTTTAGACAAAGCAGGTTCACCCAAGTTTGGAAGGAAAAAAAGCCCATTCAAATCTCTGAGGATCAATATCTCCCTCTACAATTTCAAGATTGAAAAAAATATTTTGTAACATTTCATTTGCTGTTCATTGGAAGCAATTCTTATTTTCCCAAAGTCAGTCTGAAAACAGTATTATACATCTCCCTTCTTCATCTTGGATTTGTTTTTCCAAATTCCACAGTAAATTTTTCACAAATGGAGGTAGTCCATTTTCTCTCATCAGCTCAAGATAGCTGCATTCCCACCAATGTACGTTGCTTTTTAAAAAAATTTTAAATGTGTGGCTCTAATATGTGCATTACCCTCTTTTAGCTTCTGAAGGGCATTATTTTAGTACACAATTTTATATTCTATATATATCTTTTATAGAGATATAGATATGTTTCACATAATGTATAACT